ATACATTTGGAGAAAAATAAGTTAATACTGGACAGTCAACATGGCTTTGTCAAGGGCAGGTCATGTCTGACAAATTTAATCGAGCTCTTTAATTGAGATGGCGCAGACAGTGGATGACGGAAATACCGTGTATGTTGTGTATATGTGCTTTTTAAGACAACATTTTGATATGGCAGGTTAGCTAGAAATATTTGGGATTGATGGCAGTATGGATTAGAAGTTGACTAAAAGGTGGGAAACAGAGGGTAGATATAGATGGGCATTTCTCAAACTGGAGATGAGCTGGAAGCAGAGATAACAAGGTGTAGAGCTGGATGAACAAAGCAGGCCAGGCAGCATCAGAGGAGCAGGAAAGCTGACGTTTCGGGTCTGGACCCTTCTTGTCCAGACCCAAAACGTCAGCTTTCCTACTCCAGCTGAACACCTTGTTATCTCAGACTCCAGCATCAGCAGTTCCTACTATCTCTGAATGAGTTGGAAGTGGTATTCCCCAGGGATGGGTGTTGGGACCCTTTTTTTGACTCATATAAATAATTTGGAGATGTGTGTTGAGGGCAAAATCTCTAAGTTTGCAGATAAAACTAAGCTAATATAGTGAATTGTGAGGATGGTGCGCAGTGATTTTGGAGGGACATTGTCAAGTTGTCCAATAAATATCTGGAATTAAGAGTTTAATGATGACCATGAATCCATTGTCAATTGGTGGAAAAACCATCTGGTTCACTGATGTCCTTTAGGGAAGGAAACTGCCATCCTTACCTGGTCTATCCTATACGTGACTTTAGACCACAGTGTGGTTGACTCATAAGTGCCCTGTGGGCTATTAGGGATGGGCAATAATTGCTGGCCTAGCCAGCGATGCCCTCATCTAGTGAATGAATAAAAAAAAATGGGCAGACACCTGGCAGATAAATGTGAGGTAATGTATACTGGGCAGAAAAACTTAGAGACAATATAGGTTGAATGGTACAACTTTTAGCTAAGTACAGAAGCAGAGAGACCTCAGGGTTCAATTCTGTAGCACTAGGGTGGCATAGTGGCTCAGTGGTTAGCAGTGCTACCTCACAGTGCAAAGGATCAGGCTTTGATTCCCACCTTGGGCAACTGCCTGTGTGTAGTTTTCACGTTTGCCCCGCGTCTGCACTGGTTTCCTCCCACAGTCCAAAGATGTACAGTTTAGATGGATTGGCCACGCTCAATTACCCACTGTATCCACAGATGTGCAGGCTCGGTAGATTAGCCATGGGAGATACAGGGTTACGGGGATAGGATAATGTAGGGGGTCTGTCTGGATGGGATGCTGTTCGAAGGGTCAGTGTGGATGTGATGGGCTGAATGGACTCTATGATCTATAGGGATTCTATGATCTTCTGATCCAATTCTCTGAAGGTGGCCAGGCAAGTTGAAATAGTTGTTAAGAAGACTTAAAGGCTTCTTGGGTTTATAAATAGAGGCATAGAGTATAAAAGCAAGGATGTGATGCTACAAGTTATTGGTCAGACCACATTTGGAGTATTGTGTTCAGTTCAGAGCATCTTATTTAAAGATGGATCACAGAATCCCTACAGTGAGGAAAGAGGCCAGTGGGCACATGGAGTCTGCACTGGCTCTGCAAAGAGCATCCTACCCAGACACCACCCCCTACCCCCCCAACCCCACTAGTAGTTATCTAGACTACACCTCTTCCCACCCATATCCTGCAAAAACTCCGTCCTGTTTTCCCAAATCCTCTGTCTCCTTCGCATGTGCTCTGACAAGGAGACATTCCACTCCCAAGCATCCCAGATTCCCTCCTTTTTCAAACAATGTTCTTTTCCTCCTCTGTCATCCAGACAGCCATCCACCACGCCTGCTCCATTCCCCACTCCACAGCACTAAAATCCACTCTCCCTCCAAACAAAGTAAGGATAGGGTCCCCTTTGTCCTCACTTTCCACACCTTCAGCCTCCGCATCCAAAGTATCATTCTCAAACACTTCCACCAACCCCAATTAGACCCCACCACCCAGAACATTTCCACTCCCCACCCCTCTCTGCCTACTGCAAGGACCATTTCCTTCGTCACTCCAAAGTTCACACAAAGCTCCCCACCAACCATTCCAACCACCCCCCTCCCCCCACCAGTACTTTCCCCTGTAACCGTAAAAGATGCAACACCTGCCAACACACCACCTCCCTCACCTCCATCCAGGGCCCTAAACAATCCTTACAGTTGTGACAGAGCTTCACCTGCATCTCCTCGAGCCTAGTCTACCACATTCGGCGCAACCGATGTGGTCTTCTCTACATTGGTGAGACCAAACATAGAGTAGTGACCGTTTCGCAGCATCTTCGCCTGGCCAGCCCAACCTCATGGTCACCGCCCATTTCAACCTCACCCCCCAACCACTCACCCTCCGGCATGTCCACCCTCAGCCTCCTCCAGTATCACAGTGATTCAGAATGCAGATTTGAAGAACAACATACTACCTTCCACCTGGGCACCCTACAGCCCAGAGGACTCAACATTGATTTCTCTAATTTCAAATAACCTTCCAGCCTGCCACCTCACTTCCATTTCACCTACCGATGAGTCCAAAGATGTGCAGGTTAGGTGGATTGGTCATGCTAATTTGTCTGTAGCTCCCTTCCAGCTACCAACTGGATTCATCCCTCCCATCGACCAACCAGATCGTACCTACTACCCGTGTCCACCTATCACCAACATACAGTGAATACTGCAAAGGCTATGGGCCCTGACAACATTCTGGCAACAGTCCTGAAGACTTGTGTTCAAGAACGCGCCGCTCCCATAGCCGAGCTGTTCCAGTACAGTTACAACACTGGCATCGACCTGACAATGTGGAAAACTGCCCAAGTATGTCTTGTACGTAAAAAGCAGGACAAATCTAACCAGCCCAATTGCCACCCCATCAGTCTTCTGTTGGTCATTAGTAAAGTGATGGAAGATGTCATCAACAGTGCTATCAAGCAGCACCTGCTCAGCAATAAGCTGCTCAGTGATACCCATTTTGGGTTCAGCCAGGGCTACTCAGCTCCTGGCCTCATTACAGCCTTGGTTCGAACATGGACAAAAGAGCTGAGGTGAGGTGAGAGTGACAGCCTTTGACATCAAGGCTGCTTTTGTCCGAGTGTGACATCAAGGAGCCCGAGCAAAACTGGAATCAATGGGTATCAGGGGTGCAAACTCTCTGGTGGTTGGAGTCATGCCTAACACATAGGGAGATGGTCATGGTTGTTGGAGGTCAACCATCTCAGCTCCAGGACACCTCTGCAGGAGTTCCTCAGGGTATTGTACTCGGCCCAACCATCTTCAGCTGCTTCATTGATGACCTTCCCTCCATTGTAAGGTCTGAAGTGGGGATGTTCACTCATGATTGCACAATGTTCAGCACCATTTGCGACTCCTTGGACACTGAAGCAGTCTGTGTCCAAATGCAATAAGATCTGGACAATATCCAGACTTGGGCTGACAAGCAGTAAGTAACATTCACGCCACACAAAAGCTAGGCTATGCCCATCACCAATAAGAGACAATCTAACCACAGCCTCTTGACATTCAATGGTGTTGCCATCACTGAATCCTCCACTATCAACGTCTTGGGAGTTAGCAGAAACTCAAGGGACTCACCATATAAATGCAGTGGCTACAACAGCAGAGCAGAGGCTATGAATATTGTGGCGAGTAACTCACCTCCTGACTCCCAAACGCCTGTCCACCATCTATGAGGCACAAGTCAGGAGTGTGATGGAATACTCCTCACTTGCCTGGATGAATGCAGCTCCAGCAACATTCAAGAAGCTTGACACCATCCAGGACAAAGCAGCCCACTTGATTGGCACTGTATCCACAATCATCCACTCCCTCCATCACTGATGCTCAGTTATAGCAGTGTGTACTATCTACAAGATGCACTGCAGAAATTCACAGTGGCACAGTGTTTAGCACTGCTGCCTCAGAGGGCCAGGGACCTGGGTTCGGCTCCACCCTCAGGCGACTGTGCGAAGTTTGCACATTCTCCCCGTGTCTGCGTGGGTTTCCTCTGGGTGCTCTGGTTTCCTCCCACAATCCAAAGACATGCAGGCTAGGTGGACTGGCCATGCTGAATTGCCCATACTGTTCAGGGATTTGCAGATTAGGTGGGTTATGGGGGATGGGTCTGGGTGGGATGCTCTGAGGGTCAGTGTGGGCTTGTTGGGTAGAATGGCCTGTTTCCACACTGTAGGGATTCTATGATCTATGATCCTCAGACAGCACCTTTAAACCCACAACCACTTCTACCTAGGAAGACAAGGGCAATAGATATATGGGAACACCATCACCTTCAAGTTCCCCTCAAGCCCACTTACCATCCTGACTTGGAAATATATCTCTGTTCCTTCACTTCACTGGGTCAAAACCCTAGAATTCCCTCCCAATTACATTGTGAATCAACCCACAGCAGGTGGACTGCAGCGGTTCAAGAAGGCAGCTTCTCAAGGCAACTAGGGATGGGCAATAAATACTGGCAAGCCAGCAATGCCCATATCCGACAACATGAATAAATTTAAAAAATGGCACTCAGAACATATATAAGTTGGAAAGAAGGTGGCAAACACCAAACCAAGTTGGAGAGCTGGATTCTTAAGCTATCAAAACCACATTTAGGATTGTTCCCATTGTTACTTTTCCTTCTGTGTGATTGAATTCGCAGATTTAGTGACACTTGAAAGGTAAAAGCAGTTCTGGTAAATCCACACTAACATAACTGTCAGAATCTGAAAATACCGAACTTTCTCTAAAGAAGTATGTCATTTAATAAGATTGCGTGGGCGAAACCGTGTTAACGTACAAACTATTACCTGCATGTGAAGAATTGGTTATGTCTTAGAACCATACAATCCCTACAGTGCAGAATAAGGCCATTTGGCCCATCAAGCCAAACCAACCCTCTGAAGAGCACCCCACCCAGACCTGTCCCATCCCCATAACTCAGCATTTGTTATGTTTAATCCTTCTAGCCTGCATATCCATGGACACTGTGGGTAATTGTGCATAGCCAATCTACCTAACCTGCACATCTTTGGACTGTGGAGGAAACCAGAGGAAATCCACGCAGACACAGGGAGAACGTGCAAACTCCACACAGTCAGGCACTCGAGGGTGGAATCAAATCCTGGTCCCTGGAGCTGTGAGGCAGCAGAGTTAACCACTATGCTGCCCCATGCCTTGGAAGGAGAGGAACTGGAATTCATCTTGGAAAACCTGGATGGCTGAAACTAGGACTATACATCTAGAGTGAGCTGCCTAGAAAATATTTAAGATATCTTTGTATCTGCTAATTCTCGTATAATTTCTAATTTGTACCAACCATGATTTGACTGTTAATGCATATTTAATTTTTAAATTTTGATTAAATTTAGTATAAAAAATTACGAAATTTGAAACCTTATTGGTTATTTTTTTCCTTATGGATGTCAGTCAGTAAATTAAGTTCCTTTGGGTTTCCACAAGGGATGTAACATTTAAAACAGAGCCAAGCTTTAAAATCATTAAAAAATACTTTCACATGCCAAGGGGTTAGATGCGTGAAACACTCCCAAAGAAAAAGCAGAAGAGGCTAGATCAATGAAATTTGAGTGAGTTAGTTAGATTTTTGTTAGTCAAGTGTAGAAAGGAACATTTAAGCCAAAAGGGGTGATTGAATTTAAGATACAGATCAGCTATGATTTTACTTGAATGCGGAAAGAGGCTTGAGGAGCTAAGTGGTCTGCTGTTCTAATGTTCCTGTGATTATACTCAACAGTAGTGTAAGAGTTATGGAAATCTAGTAATTGCTGCAAACCAATCTAGTCTGTAGGTTGACTGATAAAGTCTTTGTGAAACAGCTTTATCATAATGTGCAACTGATACTTACATTATACTGACAAGAACATGTGCCATGTCCCTGTTGCGTTGTGAAACAAAACAAAATTGAAAATGACAGTCTCTGTAACCAGAAAACAACTGGAAAAGACGGAAATCAATGATTTTTCCTCAGAACCTGAGCCTCTTTTCCCATTACTGTCTGTGAACATCTCAAACTGGAGTCTAGGTGTTTGGATTCTGTGTAAGGACGTCTGGGCATAGAGACCGTCCATATTGTTTTTTGACAGGAAAGATTGCAAGTTTAGTCGCCCCTTCTTTCTGTTTCTGCTCTGCTTCTTCTAATTCTCCTCCCTTTGACTTTATAATTGTGTTTCTGAAATCACTCCCATCTGTCCTGTCTTCACTTATTTACATGGAAGTAAAGATTGAATTCTGTTGAAAACTGACCAAAAAAAAACTGTTTAAGCACCAAAGTTGCAAATCCTTCCATGTCACTCAACTAAGGATATGAGCAAAAATATCTTTCTTTACATGTTCATGCTCCTTTTATCCAACCTCTTATCCTGGCCTTCACTTCCAAACATACCCACTCCTTTGGATCCACTCCATGTTTGTCAACCAAGTGTTGCATCAGTGTCCTAATTGTGATATAGAACAATGAAGAACATATAATTATTAGGCTGACGAGTTCAGTCAAATGCCCATGCCAATGCCAAGACCAAGGATAATGGCAATCGAAAAAACTGTTAATGCAAATTAGGTATTTACTCTTATTTTAGAAATGCATCAACCTAATTCTGTTGGAAAGGTGGCCTGCACATAGTGCACACAGTCATAACGTATGCATAATTAATAACGGATGACAAGGTGTAGAGCTGGATGAACACAGCAGACCAAGTAG